TCCACCACGTCCCCGACCTCCACCCCTAGGTGGTGTCGCGCTTATATACAGTTCGCAAGTGAAACCTGACCATGAATCAAGGCCAAGGGCGCCCGCGGCCGTACGCATGAGTAGCGCCGAGGCCTGCGCCCGCGGCCGTACGCATGAGCTTTGGCAATTCTGCAACTACTTCTTCTAAAAAAAATGGCAAGAGATCCATCCACCACGTCCCCGACCTCCACCCCTAGGTGGTGTCGCGCTTATATACAGTTCGCAAGTGAAACCTGACCATGAATCAAGGCCAAGGGCGCCCGCGGCCGTACGCATGAGTAGCGCCGAGGCCTGCGCCCGCGGCCGTACGCATGAGCTTTGGTTGCAATTCTGCAACTACTTCTTCTAAAACTACTTCTTCTAAAAAAATTGGCAAGAGATCCATCCACCACGTCCCCGACCTCCACCCCTAGGTGGTGTCGCGCTTATATACAGTTCGCAAGTGAAACCTGACCATGAATCAAGGCCAAGGGCGCCCGCGGCCGTACGCATGAGCTTTGGCAATTCTGCAACTACTTCTTCTAAAAAAAATGGCAAGAGATCCATCCACCACGTCCCCGACCTCCACCCCTAGGTGGTGTCGCGCTTATATACAGTTCGCAAGTGAAACCTGACCATGAATCAAGGCCAAGGGCGCAGGCCAAGGCGCGTAGCGCCGAGGCCTGCGCCCGCGGCCGTACGCATGAGCTTTGGCAATTCTGCAACTACTTCTTCTAAAAAAATTGGCAAGAGATCCATCCACCACGTCCCCGACCTCCACCCCTAGGTGGTGTCGCGCTTATATACAGTTCGCAAGTGAAACCTGACCATGAATCAAGGCCAAGGGCGCAGGCCAAGGCGCGTAGCGCCGAGGCCTGCGCCCGCGGCCGTACGCATGAGTAGCGCCGAGGCCTGCGCCCTCGGCCGTACGCATGAGCTTTGGCAATTCTGCAACTACTTCTTCTAAAAAAAATGGCAAGAGATCCATCCACCACGTCCCCGACCTCCACCCCTAGGTGGTGTCGCGCTTATATACAGTTCGCAAGTGAAACCTGACCATGAATCAAGGCCAAGGGCGCCCGCGGCCGTACGCATGAGTAGCGCCGAGGCCTGCGCCCGCGGCCGTACGCATGAGCTTTGGCAATTCTGCAACTACTTCTTCTAAAAAAAATGGCAAGAGATCCATCCACCACGTCCCCGACCTCCACCCCTAGGTGGTGTCGCGCTTATATACAGTTCGCAAGTGAAACCTGACCATGAATCAAGGCCAAGGGCGCCCGCGGCCGTACGCATGAGTAGCGCCGAGGCCTGCGCCCGCGGCCGTACGCATGAGCTTTGGCAATTCTGCAACTACTTCTTCTAAAAAAAATGGCAAGAGATCCACCACGTCCCCGACCTCCACCCCTAGGTGGTGTCGCACTTATATACAGTTCGCAAGTGAAACCTGACCATGAATCAAGGCCAAGGGCGCAGGCCAAGGCGCGTAGCGCCCAGGCCTGCGCCCGCGGCCGTACGCATGAGCTTTGGCAATTCTGCAACTACTTCTTCTAAAAAAAATGGCGCGTAGCGCCGAGGCCTGCGCCCGCGGCCGTACGCATGAGTAGCGCCGAGGCCTGCGCCCGCGGCCGTACGCATGAGCTTTGGCAATTCTGCAACTACTTCTTCTAAAAAAAATGGCAAGAGATCCACCACGTCCCCGACCTCCACCCCTAGGTGGTGTCGCACTTATATACAGTTCGCAAGTGAAACCTGACCATGAATCAAGGCCAAGGGCGCAGGCCAAGGCGCGTAGCGCCCAGGCCTGCGCCCGCGGCCGTACGCATGAGCTTTGGCAATTCTGCAACTACTTCTTCTAAAAAAATTGGCAAGAGATCCATCCACCACGTCCCCGACCTCCACCCCTAGGTGGTGTCGCGCTTATATACAGTTCGCAAGTGAAACCTGACCATGAATCAAGGCCAAGGGCGCAGGCCAAGGCGCGTAGCGCCGAGGCCTGCGCCCGCGGCCGTACGCATGAGCTTTGGCAATTCTGCAACTACTTCTTCTAAAAAAAATGGCAAGAGATCCATCCACCACGTCCCCGACCTCCACCCCTAGGTCGTGTCGCGCTTATATACAGTTTCAAAGAATGCCAGCCGGTGAAAACATGACCATGACTCCGATGAGCGTACGGCCAGGCAGGCCCAAGGCCCGGGCGCTGGCCAAGGCGCGTAGCACTGTAGTACTGATGTAAGCGAAAATTGATAAGATCATCGCGTGTCAGCAAAGGAGTGATAGTGTAGCCACCACGTCCCTGACCAACCATACCTACTTGTTCTTGAGCATTGAGCAAAGAAAAAAGGCAACAGGTCTAGCCACCACGTCCCCAACCTCCACCCGGCTATGCGGTATCGCGCTAATAGTTATACCGTCTACGCGGCTCAAACTCAAGTCAAAGTGTAGTGTCTGCCAACCTGTTCGTGTCTGAAGCACTTTGGACTTATACCAGAAAGTGTAACAGGCTGACAGCACTAGCCGGAGGAACTTGCAAGCTCTGAGGCTTCACAACTCTTTACTCTCGAAATCAATTCCACACAGAACTGAGAAGAATCAGCGGGTTATATAGGCCAGAGGGACAGAGCAGCTGGGAGTGAGGGCAAAAGATTACTAGGAAGACAACTGTTGAAAGATCTAAGGAAAAGCCATTTGAATGTGTGTGAGCTAGGGCTGAACAATAACATGGATTCGGGGAAGAAAGCTGTTGGATGCCTAGAATCTCGCAAGGGATCAAGAGGGTCAGTGATGGGGAACAGACTAGACAGGAATCAATGTAATGTATTAGTACAGCATGAACGCAATAGGTCATGCGGCCGTACCGGTCTTGCAAGCAGGGCTATCTAGTCCTAAGTGGTTGCGCGTGAGAAGCACTTAGCTAGAATGTTCCTGTAACTACTGGTAGAGACTTGGCTGTGTGATCACTGACAGTCAGGGATACTACATCCGCCCCTCCTCCGTTGAGACACGTCCTCGTGTCTACGGGACGGACGTTTGTGAAGACAGACAGACACATGTATCTAGAAGTAGTTCGGTGGACGGATAACGGGTTGTTGGTGCGGACAATTGACATGGAACTACAGGTCACGGGTGAGTTGGTAGGAGGAACGGGTAGAACACTTCCGGGACAGGCAACATACGCAAAATGAATAATAAGAGGCAAGACTGAGACGGAAGAAGGAAACTTATAAGAAATCACAAAAGGAGCATACCAGAATCACACGATCTCTCGGGGTCAGATTTTGTCCTCCACAACAGGACCAGAAAACCAGCACTCAGGGTGCAGAACGTCGTCGATTCGTACACAGAGCGAAACGGATCACGGGTAACCACAGTTAAAACTGTAAATCATGGGCTCTCTCACACACATTGTCCAGGGTTGGCTAGGTAGACCGTGGCTCACCATGATCGGACGCCTACCGGACCAACCTAGACTCTCACACTCGCAAAAAATGGAAGACTGAAGAGAACAGGAAGACTGAAGGAAGACAGAAAAGCAAAATGAACGGATCGGATCAGCTTACTTGGCCAGACTTGACAACATATTGATTTACGTTAGCGGCGGTGGTTGCAGCAACTGCGTTGACGGGATCGTGCTAACGTTCGGAATGGACAACGGGCAGGATACACTAGAGCAGCAAGGCACATGGTGAACGATGACATCTTGCAGACATCTAGCGCTGAATTAGGAGCCACCAAGATTCCCACCGATCTTGGTGTCCGCCATCAAACTTGTCCGGGTTGGTCCACTGCCATGGTAGAGGGGCACGCGGAGCCTGAGCAGGAGCAGCCAGGGCAGCCTGTGCGCGTTGTTGAGCGGTTTTCTGTTGTCGTGGTCGGGCCATTCTACATGTATGAATAATTACGTAAGGTAAGATAGCAAGAAAAAGAGAAAGGGCGGGGACTGCGACATACTGACATTGAAACAAGGCAACGTACGGTAATCCCACTTCTGACACCAGTGTAGTGTCTGCCAGCCTGCTCGTGTCTGAGGCACTTTGGGCTTACAACAGGTTCGAATCCCACTTCTGACACCAATGTAGTGCTGTCAGCCTGTTACACTTTCTGGTATACGTCCAAAGTGCTTCAGACACGAACAGGTTGGCAGACACTACAAAAGGATGTAAGTGGAAACCTGAAACACGATCATAGAGTTCTGGCAGGACTTTCCGCCTTCATCAAGGCCTCGTGCGCACGGCCGCGGGCGCAGGCCTCGGCGCTACGCGCCTTGGCCTGCGCCCTTGGCCGTATGCACTCGGCCTTGATTCAGCCATAAAGTCCTGCCAGAACTCTATGATTGTCTACTTCTAAGATATCTTCCGCTTCTCTTCTTCTGCCAGATGTCTTCCCAGAATCCATGTCCTAGCTCGCACACAGTCAGATGGCTTTTCCAACCGCTGTCCTCTTAGTAACCTTCCCGCCCCATTAGCCAGCCTGCCATTCACATTAGTTTCCTTCATACTGTTAGATTGCATTCCTGTTACCTAATTGTTGCTCGCTACTTAGGTCCATTCTTCCTCCTACCTATTCCTTTCACGTTATCTCCTTGTACGTCTTCTCCTTGCACTACTATTTCTCCCCTTGCCATGTATATGCTGTCTATGCTATATATATAAGCCCTATCTGCTCTTCTAGAGATCAGTTTAGTTTAGAGCAGAACAGGACAGAGAACAGAACAGAGCTGAGCAGTACTGAGCAGAGTTGAGTTTCCTCAGGGTTTTCCTCAGAGTTCTTATAGAGTCCTTCTCGGTAGATTGAACCGATTAGATTATTAATTGTACACTTTATCCTCTGGCAGATTGAGCCAAGAAACCTACTTCACAGTCTTATTGTGTGTGCCTCCATCCGACTACTCGGCTACCCACTACACTGGTGGCAGCGGTGGTTTAAAGTAACAGTTTATTTAGATTTGAACCCATCGATAGTTCACTCTTCCACTTATTCATCCTTCTCCGACTATGGCTCAACCCGCCGCTGCACCTGCCGCCGCCGCCGCTCCAGCACCCGTTCCCGCACGCCACGTGCATAATTGGGCCACACCGGCGAAGTATGCAGGTCGCCTGGAAGATAACTGGGCAGCCTGGTATGCCCAGTTCCAGCAGGTTTCCGCGGTCAACCAGTGGACACCGGCGGAGCAGAGCCAGTTTCTAGGCCTGTCGCTTACGGGCGACGCACAATCATATTACCAAAGTCTACCGCAGGCGGTTCGTGCGGGCCAAATTGCTCCGCTCGCCCAAGCTCTCGCCGACCGGTTTGCCCCTGCACAGCGCGCGGAGCTGCACCGCGCAGCGCTGAAAGCCAGCCGCCAAGGAAAGGGCCAAACATTGAGTGCCTTCTGCGAGGAAGTAAGGTCGACCACCAGTCGCGCATACCGGAACATGGCTGGGGCCGATAGGGACCTGCTCGCCCGGGATCAGTTTTTAGACGGCCTAGACTCCCGGGCAACCCGCATCCGGGTAAAGGAACTGCACCCTGCTACTTTGGATGCCGCACTTCAGGGAGCACTACACCAACAGGCCATAATGCATGCCGAAGCACCGGAGTCTACCCCGCTTCCCGTCTGTGGCCTGTCGGACGCTAAACAGATGGATCATATCGCCAAAGCGCTGGAGGACATCGGCGCCCGACTGGCCCGCCTGGAACGAGCGGACGCCGCCACACCGGATCAACCACGGCGCACATCTCAACACGGTACTCCGAGGAAACGAGGCAACTGTTACAATTGTGGACGCATGGGCCACTTTGCCTCTGAGTGCCGCCAACCGCGCCAATGGCAGGGAAACCAGCGTTCACAGCGGTCCTGAGTCCGTCGGCTGTGAATACTTTGCTATGGACTCACCATCCGGTTAGTTTACCTTTAGGAGCTTATCTGCTCATCCTCTTTCTCGTTCTACTTGGGCTTTCCCCTGCTTTGGATGTTGTCCGCCGTCTAGCTATGTTGGGATGTGTGTTGGTCCTGATTCTTGCGGTTATCTATCTCCTGTACCTGACACCGCCATTTAATGTTCTCAAATCCCGAGTTACTACATTCCTTTCACGCTCCTCAGCACGCCGTCCCTTCACAGTCCCGATCACCATCCAGTCCATTCCATTTAATGCCCTCCTAGATACCGGATCTGCGGTTACCTTAGTCAGTACGAATGCTTGGTCACGTATACCTACGCATACACCTTTGCAAAAAGACACTTAACCGGATCTTGTTACGGTTGATGGGTCATCTGTCTTTGTGCATGGATCTACATGTTTGTCATTCGATATTGATGGTCGTCACCTGTCTCATAATGTTCTCGTGGGGGATGTTCAGCCTGATGTTTTGCTGGGGATTGATTTTCTTCGAACGCATGGCTGCATCCTCAATCCCGCTGATAATTCTCTCCAGTTTCCCTCCATCTCTCCACCTCCTGCTGAGCCCTACGATGTAAATGCAGGAGGAACTCGAGTATGTCATGTCCAACTCGCCCAGCCCGTCGCTATACCACCGCTCAGCCAGGTACTCCTGCCTGGCAAGCTCCAATTCTCTCCAGGTCCAGGGGCCTTTCTATTAGAGGCATCGGGTAAGTTGCCTGAACGATATGATCTCCTATGTCAGGATGCTGCCATCCAGCTGCCGGCCGTGTCTGACGCATCTCCTGCTACTATCGCTTACCCTGTTTTCAACTTCTCCAGCGAGCCGATCACTCTTCCTCTGGGTCTGCGCATTGGCTCCGTTACGCCATGTGTGCCTGTCGACGACCTGGATTCCCCTCAGACCTGCGCCGCTACTACCCTTGCCGACGATCAACCAACTCCGCCAACTCCACTGTTCGACCTCAGCCACCTGGATACCACTGAGTGCAGTTCCGTTAAAAACCTGCTGAGTGAGTATGCTGACTGCGTTTCCAACGGCCCATTCGACACTGGCCATACTGATGTTTACACACACACCATCGATACTGCCGGATCAGCTCCTGTCCGACTAGCCCCGCGTCGCCTTCCCATCCACCAGCAAGAAGAGGTTCGTGAACACATTGGTAAGCTGCGCGACCATGACATTCGTCCGTCTACCAGTCCGCGGTCTGCACCAATTGTAGTTGTTCGAAAGCCGGACAAGTCCATCTGCCTATGTGTTGACTACCGTAAGCTAAACAATGTTACAGTGAAAGATGCGTTTCCTATGCCGCGGATCGACGATGCCATTGATGCAATGACCGGCGCTCGTTACTTCACAACCATTGATCTTGCGTCCGGTTATTGGCAGGTTGGTATGGATAAGTCTGCACGGCGTAAGTCTGCCTTTGTAACGCCCTTTGGCTTTTACGAGTGGACATGCATGCCCTTTGGTCTTTGCAATGCGCCTGCTACTTTCCAGCGCCTGATGAATACTGTTCTCGGTGATCTTGTCCCGTCTATTTGCCTTGTCTATTTGGATGATATCATAGTTTTCTCCAGGACGTTCGAGGAACACCTCGAGCGATTACGCTTGGTTCTCAACCGTCTCCGTGATGCCCACCTCAAGGTCAAGCCGTCTAAATGCTCTCTAGTCAAATCATCTATTGGCTATCTTGGCCATGTGTTCTCGGCTGATGGTGTTCGACCTGATCTCGCCAAAATCAATGCTGTCGCTACCTGGAAGCAACCTACCTCCATCACCGGGGTACGCCAGTTGCTCGGTTTTGCATCCTACTACAGGAGATTCATCCAAGACTTCGCTAAAATTGCGACGCCTCTGCAGGCGCTGACAAAGAAGCACTCAACGTTCTCCTGGCCACCCGCGGCACAGACTGCCTTCGATCAACTCCGCCAACACCTCGTCTCAGCACCCGTCCTTGTCTATCCTGATGCCAGTAAGCCCTTCATTCTGGATACAGACGCTAGTGATCATGCCATTGGCGGTGTCCTTTCGCAAATCGACCCTGATGGTGCAGAACACCCCATTGCCTATGCCAGCAAGACATTATCGTCAGGTCAGCGTAACTACACTACTACTAAACGTGAGTTACTCGCAGTGGTTGAGTTTACACACTTCTTCCGTCACTACCTACTTGGTGCCAAGTTCCTGCTTCGAACCGACCATAAAGCCTTGCTGTGGTTGTCATCCTTCAAGAACCCTGATGGCATCGTCGCCCGTTGGGTTGAACGTCTCTCGGCTTTCGACTATGACGTCCAGCATCGACCTGGTTCGCAGCACACAAATGCTGATGGCTTGTCCAGGATATGTGCATGTGTGTTGTCCTCGTCTCGTAAGTGCATGTGTGTCCCGCCGCCTGCTGCTGTGCGTACATGCGGTGTCTCTCTGTCAACAGGACCACCCACAGTTGTCTCTCCGCCAATGTCGGCTACAGTACAGTCCCCATCCTGGCTGCCTAACAACAACAACAACAACTCTGTATTACGTGATGATCAACGAGCTGATCCCACCATCGCCAAAGTCATTACCTGGGTAACTGCAAAGGAACGTCCCGCCAAAGGATCCCCCGAACTCGCTACGGCTAGTCCTGACTTACATCATCTATGGTCACAATTTGATCGTCTACTCATCATCAATGATCTACTCTACAGACGGTATGAGTCCAGTGATGGAGCCACGTCCAATGTCCAACTACTCGTCCCCGCCTCACAACGCTTAACAGTCATGGAAGCCCTCCACAACGCCGTGGGCTCAGACCATTTAGGTATCAGTCGCACTGTGGACAGAGCTCGTCACCGTTTCTATTGGCCTCATATGACATCCGATATTGAGCGCTGGATTCGTGCCTGCCCAGACTGTCAAAAACGGAAAGGTCCCCACCACAAGCCCAAAGCGCCCATGCACTCTCAGCCGTCATCCTATCCCAACCAGCGCATCGCTATAGACATCATGGGTCCGCTTCCAATTACGGATCGTGGCAACCGGTATGTCTTAGTTATCATGGATTACTTCTCCAAGTGGGTGGAAATTTTTCCTATGCCAAACATGCTTGCATCCACCGTTGCTCGATTACTCTTTGACGGTTGGATGTGTCGCTACGGTGCCCCTGCTGCCCTGCATTCCGATCAAGGTCCACAATTCGAGAGCAATCTGTTTAAAGATCTGTGTCGCATGATGGATGTTACCAAAACTCGAACCACTGCATACCACCCTCAAAGTGATGGCATGGTGGAAAGATTCAACCGCACACTCGAAGCCATGATTGCCACATCTATCTCCGACCACCGCGACTGGGACCTCCACCTCCAACATACAGCGTTAGCTTATCGCACCAGTGTTCATGCATCAACAGGTTACACTCCGTTCCTCATCCAATTCGGACATGAAGCTGTTCTCCCACTCGACTTGGTCTATGGTCGACCCCGTGATACTCCACCGTCCTCCTATCATGAGTATGTTCAGTCCCGACACACCATTACCACGAATGCTTTTACGCGTGCTCGTCAACATGGAATCACTGCCCACCGCCTGCAGAAGAAACAGTATGATGGTACGTCTCGCCCTTCACCCAGGTTTCAGAAATCCGACCTAGTGCTTCTCCACTCCCCTGTTGTCCCCACGCATTCGTCACCGAAGTTCCACAAGTTCTGGACTGGTCCGTACATCATTTAGAAAAGCGATCCTGTCAGCTTTTCTATTATTGTGTTCACATGGCAAGAAAAACGACACCGCTATGCTACGTAAGTTTCTACGTAAGGTGCTCGGTATTTCACTTAGGCTACGTAAGTCTCTACGTAAGGTGCTCGGTATAGATCTACCAACGGTTGGTAGCCGCGTGCTGTGCACGTGCACGGCAGACATTGTGTTGGATGCATGCAGTGCAGTCCGTGTTCGGATGTGCATGCGCGAGGAACTTCCTCCTTTGGAACTGCTTCTTGTATGAGCTGTTTCGGATATTTCGTCTCCTAGATCCTGGCCTGGCTTATTTCGTTTCGGCGCTGCTGAGACCTCCTTTCGCGGAATATTACTCAATATCGACAGGTGAGTTGACCAGTTACCTTTGATTCTTTTGCTTGTGTTGACTCTTTCATTTACGAAAAGTGTGCTCATTTTGGGCGGAATGCAATAAATAATGGAAAAGCTGGCAGTATCTATTTTCTAAATTATTTAGCTTTTCCGCTGCCGAGGCCCCCTTTTACGGAATACTCGATGACAGGTGATCTCTGAGTTGACCGGTTTCCTTCGATTCATTTGCTTATGCTCACCCTTTCATTTACGGAAACGTGTGCTGATTTTATTCGGATTTAGATCCATTTTTATCTCTTTGCCCTTGTCTACAGTGTGCGAAGAACGCGAGTTCACCTTCTTGACGGTAAGGCTTATGTTAGATGTGTTGTCGAAATACTCATATTCATTGTACATTGGTACGTTACAAGTAAGGCACTGGTCAGTGGCATACTATCGTTGGCAGTTCCCAATCTGGAGGGAAAGGTTCAAGGACCCATTGACCGAGTTTGCAAAATAAATTCGCATATCAGGGAAAATCTCCATTGTGGAGAGGTTCAGTAAACTTGTATGATTAGATTTGTTTATTTGAGTCTGGGCTGTTTGATTTATTATTTGTGAGTTCCGCCGAGATTGCACTGCCCCAAATGAAGTTTCGTGCCGCCAAGGCAAGAATTACGATCTGCAATCTGTTTGTAGTACCTGCAAGAATGTGCTGTACATATATCGTACTTTCTCTGTTGCTGTTTCAGTTGCCGTCATGTTGCTAAAGAAACGTTCAGTAGAGAGGTTCTGCAAAACGAAAATTCGAACGAAGTTTCGCGACAGTCATTGCGAAAGTGTGTACGAATTTTTGCACAAACTTTGCGTTCTGCACGTTTTCGTAGTTTGCGCGGGCCAAGTGCACGTACG